CCTCAGTATTGCAAAACTATTGCAAATAATCAAATTTATCATGTTCAATGATCTACAAGTCTTATCCACATTTTAATATATACCACCAATACATACCTATGACCAACATATTAGACCATGCCAACAAACAATTCCTATTCAACGCTCCAAAAAGATATAAGCGAATCAGGAGAGTTCTAAACCGCTCTACAAAAGATTCAACCAAACTCTAACAAATATAAGTGAAGTAAAAGAGCAATCTACAAATAACAATACTTTAAGTGTAGAGAAACAAGCATCCAAACTTCAAAAGATAAAAGTGAGACACACGAGCACTTTATAAAGCCATAATCAAAGGATATAAGTGAAGTGCAAAGAGCATTATATAAATCAACCAAGAACTATCTCATACCAGCATGCTGAATAACTAAAAGAAATAAAAACAAACGGCGCTCCAAGAATTTACGCATATTATGTGAACAAATAAAAATATAGGCCCATTCGACAGATCGATAATTGTCAAGGAAGAAATAGGGGATGCCTTCCGGGGCATCCCCAACTTTAGACGCTTGACTTCTTTGGATATTTACTTGGGGTGTCTTGGCATGCCTAAGATTGAACCTTTCCCTCTCCTCATTCCTATCATATCGATGTCTTCCCTCGGTCTTAGAAACTTCATCCACAGAAAACTCAACAGAAATTTTATTAGAGGGGGTACTAGAAATAACATCAAATCTTATCATTTCTTGCTTTAACAATACTGTATAATTATAATCCAACATTACCTACTGTATGCTAACATAATTCTAACACTCCACATCAATGGGGCTTCAACAAAATTGCAAACATAAGCAATTATAGAGGCTATAACAAGAGAGTGGCGTTTTGGCTCCTAGGTGCATATGCACCCATTGTCGAAATCCAAATTCCAAGAAGTTAAAAAATTCGAAACAAAAATCCCGCGTGTATATCCGGAGCTTTTATGTGCGTTCACAAGGTTTCGGTGAAAAACGACGTTTTTTGTGGCTTGTGTAAAAAAGACAATTTCTGATGCTTCATTGTAACTATTCACGAGGCATTTCTTTATCTTTTTTACACAAGCCACAAAAAACGTCGTTTTTCACTGAAACCTTGTGAACCCACATAAAAGCTCCGGATATACACGCGGGATTTTTTTTTCAAATTTTTTAACTTCTCGGAATTTGGATTTCGACAATGGGTGCATATGCACCTAGGAGCCAAAGGCAATTACCGCTATAACAACAATATGTGAAAACATGATAGTATGTAAACATGTAAATGGAGCATATACTTCTGTAACTAAAAAATTCTGAAAAATTAGGACGTGATAAACAATTTGTATGAAAGTACCATTTACAAATTTCAGAAAATTTGCATGTTCCGGTAAAATATGATAATGGAAATACTACAGAAAAAGTTTATATTTCTGGACAACACATATCAAACCTTGATAGTTTATTTCTATAATACAATGGGTTGGTACAATAGGATATAGTTTTGTTGAAAAGTTTCTATTATTCAAGGTTCAGAAAGTTTCCATGGGCATGATCAAAAGTTCAAGGACGTCCCCCACTTCTACGATGCTCATCTTTCTCACTTTCACCTTTCCTTTTGAATTTTTTTAGGCTCCTCACTTTTTTTTGATTTCTAATTTTTTTATAAGAACGCAAAAGAAGAAAATTAATCTCCAAAACATTCGGGTTGTCTCCTAGATAGCACTTTCTTTAAAGCCATTAAGCAAGGATAAAGTGTTCAAGTACTCCCTTCGTCCGAAAAAACTTGTCCCAAGCTTGTTGCTCAAATGGATGTATCTAGCACTAACTTGATGCTAGATACATCCATTTGACAAGCTTTTTCAGATGGAGGGAGTAATCACTAAACCAGGATCCCAAGGTACATCAAAGCTAATTTTAATCAACAAAGATCTGGATCTTAAATATGAGCACAAAGTAACATATATCATGTAAGAAGTAAGTCTAATTCTATTCCTATGTGTTGGCATGCCATAAGAAAACAATTCATGCAAACAAAGTAAAGGCCAAGACATAGTATAAGTAGTT